ATTCATTCATTCATTCATTCATTCATTCATTCATTCATTCATTCATTTCATTCATCCACTGTAGGCCAGAACTAGGTGACTAGTAGTCACCTAATGAGATGCAAAGATCAAATGATATACTGCATGCAAGTACTAAAAGCTTGTATTTTACTAGATAAATTTTTGTTGTTGTTATTATTATTACCACCAAATTATTGTAATGGCTTTGGATGCATTAAGTGCTATAAGTATATTCAAATGTTTTTAGTGAGATTCCTCCATTGGTTCTGAGAGACCTTCCAAGACAGGGAATACCCATCATTAAAATAAGTAATAAAATAAGGACCTCAAAAGAGATGAACGATGTTCTTCCCAGGCCCATGTACTATGAATTTATTGGAAAACATTAAGTGGCTACACTGTACCAGGTCATACAGATTCAAAAGTGACACCATCCTGGGTGTGAATGAACTTACATTCTACTAGAGTATTAGTTTACATCTATGTAGCAATTTAGGACTTGCAAAATGCTTTGCATATATCATTTTATTTAGTTCTCACAACAGCTCCCTATGGTAGGTACTAGCATTATCCCCATTTTATAGATGATCAAACTGAGAATCAGATTTCAGCCTAACTCTACCCAGCCCTTCTACTGTGCCCTCTGGAATGCCTGTTTGTTAGGCAACAAACTTCCCTTCATTTTAAATGTCTTCCTCTCCCACTCTTTCCATCTACTAATTCTTACTGAAACCTGGCTTTCCTCTGATGGCATAGCCTCCCTGGCTACCCTTTCCGGTACTGGCTGCACCTTCACTCATCCTCCTCTACTCACTGGTCAAGGCAAGGGAATTGGAATACTCCTTGCTCCCTACTGCTAATTCCAGGTTCTCGCCCTTCCCACTTCACTCAATAACCTCTCTTCCTTTGAGGTTCATGTTATTCATATCTTCCATCCAATCAAAATCCTGGTAGCTGTTGTCTACAGACCCCTTGGTCACTCAATGATTTTGATACCTGGCTTACAATTTTTCTCTCCTCCCAAACTCCTGCCCTTATACTAGGAGACTTCAATATACATATTGATTCTTCCCCAAATACTCTAACCACTCAGTTCCTCTATCTTCCATGAGTCCCTCCTCCACCCCATCTCAGCCACACACAAAGATAGTCAGACCATGGATCTTGCCATCACCCATAAATGTACCACCTTCATGTTCAAGAATTCCAAAATCTCCTTATCCTACCGTAATCTATTGGCTTTTCACCATTCCCTCTGCCTTCCCTTGCATAACCCTACTTTTTATCCTCACTGTTACCTCCAGTCCCTTGACCCCTCAGTACTTTCCCAGGCCATCTCCCTTGCACTAGCCACTCTCTCCTCTTCTCACCATCTTGACTGCTTGGTG